CATACTAACATACATACGTCTGAAGCTAATAAAAGCGTATTAAAAATACTTCTATCTTAATGAAAAATAGAACGAAACGAACCCGCCCCCGAGGCTAACATTGCAAATGAAACTACAAAACACCGAACGTTAATGTATGATAATTGTGAATTACTCACAAAAGCAATTCCGAATCATAATTGGAATTGCTCGACCACAATAGCGCGCATCGCTTTGACCGATATTGCGATGCGCATTTCCGAATGCTTCATATCGAAATCATAATCGGCTTTTTTAAATGAGCGGAGGTATTTTCAGACCAGTTCAACGGCTGAAATGAGTGTTTTATTAATGTTTTTTTTCTTTGAACAGCACAAAGTAACCATTCAAAATAGAAATAAACAATTCAAAGGTAGGTTATGTTTTGTAGATATTCTTTCGTTACGTACAAAATCAATTGATCGTAGATAAGTAAGGTATTACCGATACGTTTATTGATTACGTATGTTTGCACAACGATAGTTAAAGCAAATGGCGTTCGAAAAAATATGCGGTTACATAAAATTGAAATCAAAAGGCTCCGTTTTTGTTTAACTTTAATTTAGTTTAATTTAAATTTGCGCGTGTTCGTATTGTTTTTGTTTTCGTATACTTTATCTCAAATTTATAGAAGTAGACAAATTCAATTTGATAGTCAGTCAGCTATTAAGAAAATGTCCCGTAAAAAAAAGGCAACAAATTTTTATCTGAACTATCTGGTGGTATAAAATATTTCCAAAATAAAATATAATTTGTTTTGACTAATTCGTTATAATTTCAGGGACCTACCTGAAACTGCGACACTAGATGACAAATATTTTTTGTATGGAAACTAGCGACATCTTGTAGCGGATGCCCGTAAACTTATATATTGTTAAAATTTTAAGGCATTTAATTATTGCATAACTAAACACATAAAAACATAAAAAATCACACTAGTCTTTATTTGACAAATTGATGAAATTTTATCAATTTGTGGTTTCTGAAAATTTACAAAATCCTTCATTATAAATAAAATATAGAATAGATAATATGTTACTGCCATCTACAGGAGAAACTAATCGAAGAGAAAGTAATGAAACTAATCGAAGCAAAGCCATCTAGTGGACGACGCCCGTAAACATTTTTGTTGAATGCTTGACGTGCTTATCTTTAAATAATTTATGTGTAAATTTATGTGTATTATCTAATTTAATTACATTCAATAAAAATATATTTTCGACCGTTGTGTACTTTTCTATTGATTATAAAGATATTACTTTAGATATGACATATTTAAAGATGAAGAAGAAAAATAACCTTCAAAATAATATTCGTTGGGAACAACTTAAAATTAGTGCATTATTTTATAATTCTCTTTGTTTATGAATAAATGAAAACTAGCAACCAAAAACAATGGAATTCAGTCTTTGAAGCGCCCTGGGCCGCGCGACTGTACTGATTCAACACTATTGTTTTAGTTTTTCAAACAAAATTAAACAAGACATAAAATTGGAAAGGATTGTCAGTTTTCAAATACATAAATAAACTGCAATGGATACGATATTGAATAATAAAAAAAAATGTGTGCGTGTACTAGTGTACACACGTAAGAAGTGAAACTTGTTTATGGCCTTATTTTTCGAAAAATGATCTACATGCAACTTTCTAGAAATTGGTTAAATAAAGTTAAATTAGATAAAGTTTAAACAAAAGGATTTTATTATCATAGACATGAATACAAATAATACAATTATTTCACTTTACCTTTTTGCTACTAAGATTATTACAGCATTTTAATAATACATCTCTTTGATATCATAATACCCTGGTACTTTTCTTCCTATAAATTAATAATAATAGCACGGTCCACGTGGTGTTAAATGGGGTTCCTGAGGTTCGTGAAGTTTGACCCACCTTGAGACATGAGGTCGATTTCTCAAATCCGAAACCATGCTTCAGAACATACCGCCGTTAATTATTAATAAATCTCTTTGCTATCATAATACCCTGGTACTTTTCTTCCTATTATTTTACGTAATAACAGTAATAAATAGCACGGTCCACGTGATATTATTAAGTGGGCTCCCTGAGATTATTGGAATTACAAAATGATTTCCGTAATCCACCTGGAGACATGAGGTCAATTTCTCAAATCGGAATCCATACTTCAGAACATACAGCCGTTAATTAATAAAGAAGGCTGTACGTCAGAGTAAAGTTATAATAATACATCTCTTTGATATCATAATACCCTGGTACTTTTCTTCCTATTATTTTACGTAATAACAATAATAGCACGGTCCACGTGATATTAAGTGGGTTACCTGGGATTATTGCAATTACAAAATGTATTCCGTGACCCACCTTGAGACATGAGGTCGGTTTCTCAAATGCGCATCCATACTTCAGAACATACAGCCGTTAATTAAAAGATGGCGCGTAACGGAAAAATGTGACGCGTAACCGAAAAATGTGACGGTAAATTTTTTTCCAACGCCGATAAGGAAGTTTCACTTCAATAAGTCTTTCAGGTTGCTGTTTAAAAATACTGACCATTTCAAATGCAAAAAGGCAATTTATTTTAAAAATATATAATTACATTTTCAAATTTAGTCCTTTGTTCATTGATTAGTATTTTGTCTTCACTAAATTTGAATCTTTTTCATCAATAGACATGAAAATACGAGTAATTATGTACCACATAAATGCAATGCCACATAAACGGCTCACAACATTAATTATGTTTAGAGTGAAGACAAAAAACACGGAAAAAATAACTCTAAAAAATATACATAATAAACGGCAATTTCGTAGGTAAAACCTAATATGAGTCGTCTATTATCAAAGGTGGCAATCTGTGCATTTGGACAAAAAAAAAATGTGTGCGTGTACTAGTGTACACACGTAAGATGTGAAACTTGTTTATGGCCTTATTTTTCGAAAAATGATCTACATGCAACTTTCTAGAAATTGGTTAAATAAAGTTAAATTAGATAAAGTTTAAACAAAAGGATTTTATTATCATAGACATGAATACAAAACAGATGGCGCGTAACGGAAAAAAGTGACGCGTAACCGAAAAATGTGACGGTAAATTTTTTTCCAACGCCGATAAGGAAGTTTCACTTCAAAAAAATATGTGCGTGTACTAGTGTACACACGTAAGAAGTGAAACTTGTTTATGGCCTTATTTTTCGAAAAATGATCTACATGCAACTTTCTAGAAATTGGTTAAATAAAGTTAAATTAGATAAAGTTTAAACAAAAGGATTTTATTATCATAGACATGAATACAAAACAGATGGCGCGTAACGGAAAAAAGTGACGCGTAACCGAAAAATGTGACGGTAAATTTTTTTCCAACGCCGATAAGGAAGTTTCACTTCAAAAATATTGATATGTCAATACAGATTGATTTGAATATAATCGTCTCCTTCGAAGAATACGGTTCAAAACCTGCATTAAATTAATACTTAACCTGTTATTTATCTAAGATGTCGTTCAGAAGAGTTTTGTGACTGCCAATGGAATACAAAGTCAATAATTCGTTTTTCTGATTTACCAATAATTGTCCAAAAGTCACATTGCCGGCTTTGATAATAGTCGACTCATATATACCGTATTTTATCTACTGTTTCACCTGACGCATTTTCAAATGCTCATCAGTCCAATTCTCTCATTTTGCGGTATAGAAAACTTGAAATCATTTAACGAATTCATGATTTACTGCAGCTAGATATTACTACTTTATGGCAGAAATAGAGTGGGCAGTGCAATATCTACCCGTCACAAAAAACCCTATCATCAGTAGCTATGAAAATTAAACTTTTGTGGGTTTGTTTTTATTACACGGTGCTATTCTCTATTGTTCATGACAAAATTTCATAACTGACTGCGGAATCCGAACACCGGCACATACGCATCACTCGATTCGAATGCACCGGGCGTCTTATCCTTTAGCCCCGACGACTTCCAATTTCTGATAATATCGAGAAATCAAATTAAATGCACTTATGCTAACTCAACATGCGCTTCAAAGGCTAAGTTCGAATAAATAATGATGAGTGCCTAATTACACAATATCTTAAAACATATACCATAACTCACTTTCCCCTACCACATGTAATCTTTGATAATTATTGACCCTGACAATCATTTTATTAAAAAACAGAAGTAGAGCGTTCTGAATATCTTTAAAGTCATATTTTCCGTTTTCGCATTTCTACATCCCTCCCGTTGCCCTAGTTTAAGAGCATCGATTTTCCCGCGATAGAGCTTAACGCGCCCCGCTCTCGGTTTCGTCTATCGATTAAAACATCGAAGACGTATCTATAGGTGTAGATCGAGATAGCGTCACGAGTTTGGGAAAATATATGGTAGCTCACGTCTCATAAGGCTCCTAAGACGTGAGGGGGACACGCCCCTGGGAGGGGCGGGGCGTTCCCGGTCACCCAGGTCTCGGCGATCAAACCGGCAAAACGTCGGCGTAAAATAACCGGTCCGACGGCTAATCGATGTGCCGAATAAGCCTCGGAACCTACGAATAAAATAATAAAGCCCTAAACAAAAAATTTTGTCCACAATGTTACCAATAAATATTTATAACATACAAAAAAAACTTCATAGAGGTACTAGTTACAAATTGCTAAGTTACTAATAAATAGTAACATTGTATTTTACAAACTAACTAAAAATATCTTTGAGATATCTCTCTCTCATTACTTGGGAGCGATCCTGAGAATGAAAACTTGTAATCGATTTAACTAGTATGGCCACTGCGAATTATGTGTTTAATATGTAAAATGTGTTAGCTTTTTTTGTTATTTGTAGTAGATTGGTGATCTTAGATTTTAAACCAGCGACTTTTTTTTTAGCATCGTAAATAAATATAAAAAAAAAAGTTTTTTTAAAGCACAAGAGCTAAGCTGTATGTTATTAATAAATTTAAAAAAAGGGTTTAACTCCTTAACGTGTTGCTAAGTCAAGCGTATTGTCAACAGAACTGAGCGCCAGCATCAAAAGGGAGAAGATAGTCGAGATCTGCGAAGGGTGCGGCCAAAAAATTCAAGATCGATACCTGATGCGGGTCGGAGAGCTCTCCTGGCATGAGCACTGCCTCAGCTGCTGTGTCTGCGGGTGTCCGCTTGCTCACACCTGCTACACCAGAAACGCGAAACTTTACTGCAAACCCGATTACGATAGGTAAATTGAAATTGAAAAGAGTCTGTGTTCATGAAATATTCTGTTACCGAAATGAGATTGTAAAAGTAGTAAAGAAAAAACAAAAAACAGAATATTGTCATGTTCTAGTGAAGGTACCTTCTAAGTTTAATAAGGCAAAGGCAAACGCGATCATGTTTTTACAATGCTAAAGCGATCCTGTACAAGCCAAGCGTCAATTACTGTTCATTTTGTTTTCGTGTCAACACCAATTCGTTTGTCCCATAGATTGTTCGGGGTGAAGTGTACAAGATGCGGCGACCGTCTTCTCCCACAAGAAATGGTAATGAGGGCCCAACAGTATGTCTTTCACATACAATGCTTCGTCTGCGTGATGTGTTGCCAACCGCTACAGAAGGGCGAACAGTACGTTATTCGCGCTGGTCAAATATTTTGCAGGCAAGACTTTGAAAAAGAAATGTATCTAATGCAGCATGCTGAAGATGACATGATTATCGATGATTCAGAGCGTCCTAGAGACGGACGACGAGGCCCGAAGCGTCCTCGTACCATCCTTACTTCTGCCCAACGCAGGCAGTTCAAAGCGTCTTTCGAGGTCAGTCCGAAGCCTTGCAGGAAGGTCCGAGAGGCACTCGCTAAAGACACCGGTCTGAGTGTTAGGGTCGTGCAAGTTTGGTTTCAAAATCAACGAGCTAAAATGAAAAAGATCCAACGCAAAGCCAAACAAGAAGGCGACAAAAACGGTGACAAAGAGAAAGATAAGGACGAAAAATCGATCAAACAAGAGTCGCCGACAAGCGAGCACGGAAATTATTTAGGTCTTGATGGATCATACTCTGCCTCCAGCCAGCCATTAAATCCTAACCTTCCATATTCGCCCGATGGTAAGAAAATGAAAAATATTTTGATTTCCAATGAGTGTCATTTTAAAAATGTATTAAATCAATTTGATGTTTCCAGATTACCCAGCGCATTCAGGGGACAGCTTTTGCAGTTCCGACATATCCCTCGATGGCAGCAATTTCGACCAGCTAGACGAGGGCGCGTCCGACACAATGAGCCTGCAGAATCTGGAAGTGCAGCACCACAATCACCAGCATCCTGGCCACTCTGCACACGAGCCACTGAACCTCGGAACCGGAGCCGTCGTTAACCCGATCGACAAACTTTACCTAATGCAGAATTCATATTTTAGTACTGATCATTGATTTACCGGTCACCGTGGCTCCGGCCGGCGTGGCCGGTCCGGGCAGAGACCCCGCCAGACCTCCGCTATGGATCTGTGCATCAAGTCTACAGCCACGGAGACCAATCAAACCCACACATACTCCAACGCGAACGTAGCCAATTCAACTATGAACTTTGATAAATATTATTCAAATAATTTCCCAATTTATTCAGGACACGTTAAGTAAATGAACTAACCAGACATATTGTTTAAAGAAACACGATGACACATTTCACCGTGATACCGTTTAGATTTTTACAAGCCTTGAATACCACGGTGGTTAATATTTGAACAATAAATGACGGGATAATTAAAAACAATCTGTTGTAGTTTGTCGTTTTAAGTCATATAAAAATTTATTATGTAAATATTGTACAGAAATTATAATTAAAAACAAACTTTATTTAGAAAATAAATTATATGTAGGTATAGCTTGTGGTATTTTTTTGTAGAAATATTTTTAAATGCACAGTAAATCGGTAGTCAATCCAATTAGCTAATTAGAATCAACAAATGTATTAGAGATCACATCGATTTCAGAATTGGACAATTTTGTAAATAGAATCCATTATTATCATTTTAAATATTACAATGGACATAGTTTATGTTTGATAAATTTATTTTCTGTCACCAAATTTATCATTTAATAATACAATAGTAGTAATTATTTCAATTTTAAGAGCGGAAATAGCTGTAAATTTCTATACAATATTATCCTCACTTTATTCTGATATACTAATGTATTAAGTGTAGGAGCATTGATCTTATTAATATACGTGTGATATGATATTTGAAACTTGTGAACTATTCTAGTCTCAGAATAAGTAAAATTATTTGAAATGTTTTTTTAACAATTCGTAATAGCGGTGCTCTTGAAAATTTTAAAAAGTTGTCTTGAAACGTCCTTTTAATGAAGAAATTGTGTCATGTAAATGTTAACCAGAATAGCGATTAGCACATCTCCTGTTAGCTAATTCTACACCCTATTCTACTTGTTCGAAATGGGCCTACGATCAATCGACAAGTTGTAGAATGTTGAAATAAAAATAAAAAAGATATTTTTCTTACAAAATTAACATTAGGTACAATTTAATTATATTTATTTTCAACGATTTCACATTTCATGGTTTTTTAAACAAACGCGGTCATAGCACTGTCGCCATTTAGGTGATTACGTAATGATAATATTAGAAATTGTGAGCGACGCTTCAAGTGGACCCGTGAGGAAACGCTCATTAAACAATTTATTTATTTTAATACTATAACGAAATCATTGTTGCTGTCATTCGTTGTCGTAAAGTTCGTATCTATGCCACATTACGTACACGACTAAATTATATCCAAATTGAATATAAAATACCAGCTTAAGATTAAAATTGAATGAAATATAAAATGTTGCACCGCTGCGCGTTGGACGCTATCATTTTCTTCTGTGCTGGCAATAGTTAACGGAAATATAGATAGGCTAACATAAATGTGTACTAGAACCGATCTATTTTACTCTGTGTTTTAAATTATAATTGTAAACACCTAAAATCACTTCTAGTCAATGTTTTGAAGATCTTTTTTTTGATTTTGTTAATAATTTATTTATAATAGACTGTAATAGTTTTACGAACAGTGTACTAATTAAAACTTAGTGTGATTTTATAAATCGATGTAAATTAAATATTGATTACGTGTTATGTGATTTTCTTTGATAGTTCTTTATTTAATATTTACATTTTTTTATTTTCAAGTAATAAATTTTCATATGGAAACTTTACGGAAATATAAAAATGTTTTTGACCTCTGTTTACGTAGATAACGAAAGATGAAACTTATTTTGATTTTGCAATGACTAACTGTAATCAATTCTACCCTTAGAATTTAGTTGTTTGATTACTTACAAATATATGCCACCATCAACTATACATAGCGTGGGTATAGTCGAAGATTCTGGACCTTCAGCGACGCTGTAAACGTGACATGCTGCGGGGTACCATGGCATGTCGCGTGTATTCCAAAGTTTCCGGCATTGCCGCAGCAAATAATGCAACCTCGTCGCGTGCCACAGGTATGTGTATACGAAGGTGAGAGTCAATAAGTGAATAATCTATAATAGGGTTGAGAAGAAAGAGACTGTAGGTTACGTAGTAGAAAAAATCAATGTACATAGAGAAACAGTAGTACTATTAGTGGTATTTAATTTAATTGTGATCTCTTCCAAGCCAACGGATGAACTAAAATCCCCTAAGGAAAGATAAATTTTTATTTTTTTATTGCATAGATGGATAGACGAGCTCACAGCCCCCCAGGTGTTAAGTGGTTACTGGAGCCCATAGACATCGTAAATGCCGCCACCCACCTCGAGATATAAGCTCTAAGGTCTCAGTATAGTTACAACGGCTGCCCCACCCTTCAAGTCGAAACGCGTTACTGCTTCATCGCAGAAATAGGCAGGGTGGTGGTACCTACCCGTGCGGACTCACAAGACAGGAGACTCGGTGCAACAATCACGGCCGCTAACTGCTGCTCCGACGATTCAGTCAGTCTCTGTATCTAAGATTCATAGGTTCAGGTAGACTCGTTCACTGATATATTGATATATAATATTAATATATTTATTACAATGATCGACTGGACCAGGGGTCGGCAACGCGGCGTCCGCGGGCGCCATGGCGTCATGGCGCCTCCGATAGATTTTTAATGCGCCCTCGCTGGACTAATGTAAATGTATGACAGCCAGCGATTTACTTACTCTTTTCAAACGGTGATACAGCAAGTAGTCAGTTTAGTTTAAGATTGCGCATAGATTAGCAGTTTGCTAACCTTGCGGGTATCTAATTACACGCACGTATTTATTATTAGTGTGTGATTGTATTTCGAATAGACCACGCGTAGACCGTGCATTTAAAACTACCAATTAATCCGAAATAATTATTTTCTTTCAATACCAGACAAAGCTTAATGACTCACATTTAGATAACTGTTTAAGGACCGGGAACTCTAAATATATCCCCAATTATAAGAAATTAGTTGAAAATATGGACACCCAAACTTCACACTGAATTATATGTATCATTATGTATGACACCAACAAAATAAAGCTTTAAAAAATCTGTTAATGCCTATTGATACCTGTTGATTGTCTGTAAAATATGCGCCCTCGGTGATTTTCAAATTTAGTATTGCGCCCTTAAAGACAAACAGGTTGCCGACCCCTGGACTAGACTTACGCTACATATTATTTTATTATCCTAAAACGGAAACGAGAATCATCTTCGTTCATGAATGTCAATAACGCCATACAAACAAACCCCTGACTACCGCTTAGGACTCGCCCGAAAGCTCGCTTATAGGAGGACGTATCATAGCGCTCATGAAGCACTGTGGAGGAAAGTTCATTACAAAGACAAATGTAGTACATGGCAAAAAAGTCTCCAGCTACGAACTACATATCTCAGAAACCATAGCAATATATGAACGCGAATTGTCATCCCGTCATCATGTCATTGCTTAAAAACAGGCGATATAACGCATGGAAACACAAACTGGCGATACCCCACAATAACCACGAGCGACCACCTACAAACGGGTTTCACTTACATAGGCGGCACTGAAAATTTCGGGAATTAACGAAGCGACACAACATTACTATTTAAAAATGTATTTATTGCTTTTCGAAGTATTCTCCGCGAAATTTGACACATTTTTCCATACGATGGAACCAATCATTGAAGCAACCATTCCATTCGGAAGTTGGGGTCTCCAAAATGGCCGTTTTGTAGGCGTCCACAGCTTCTTCAGGTGATGAAAATCTCTGTCCACGCAATTTATTCTTTATTTTAGGGAAAGTATAGAAATCATTAGGGCTTAGGTCGGGGCTGTACGGCGGATGGTCTAATAATTCTATGTTTTCTTGCTCTAAAAACTCTTTTGTTCTGTGCGCGGTGTGAGAACTCGCATTGTCGTGATGGAGGATGATGCGGCGGTTGCAGTTCTCTTTACGGAGTTCAGAAACGACCTGTGGCAAACAAATGCTAGCATACCATTCTGCATTAACCGTTCTTTGTCCCTCAAGAGGAATAGTCGTAACATGGCCGGTTTTGGAGACAAACGTGGCCACCATTTTTTTTGCAACACTCCGTGAACGAACAATTTTTGTTGGCTTTAACTCATTTTCGAACACCCAAACTCGTGACTGGTTTTTTGTTTCGGGTTCGTACGCGTATATCCAGGATTCGTCACCTGATACAATGTTGTATACAGCATTTGAGGATCCTGCGTGGAATCTTTCGAGAGTTCTGACGCACCAAGTAACGCGAGCCGCTTTTTGCTCTTCACAGAGCGAATGCGGTATCCATCGGGAAAACAACTTTTTTACACCTAATTGTTCATGCAAGATTATTTGTATTTGACTCATGCCAATGTCTAAAGTTGCCTGAATTTCGCGGTATGTCACATGTCGATCTTCCTCAATCAGCTTACGCACAGCATCAACGTTTTCTTGGGTGATTGCAGTTTTTGGACGACCTTAACGGGGATCATCACTGAGCTTGACACGTCCACGTTGAAACTCAGCAAACCAGCGATAAATTGTGGTTTTGGATGGGGCTTCATCACCAAATGCAGAAATCCACTGTGTTAAACCACTTCGAAAGTCATAATAAATCATCGCTCTTGAATTTTCTCGAGTCAATTCCATTTTCCCAACGACTAAATAAGTTTGACAAAACTTCGTGACAAGACCGAGAATCTTTTTTTAAATAAATAAATGGTATTCGATTTTTAAAACCAAGGAGTTTTCAATTAAAAAGATTTTAATATGACAGGAACAGTGGAAATATTCCATTCCCGATACTTTTAGTGCAGCCCTCGTATGGAAAGGTAGTTCTCCAGATACAGTACTGTCTTGATTTAATTTGCACATGAAATGTACAAAATTAATTATTTTAATGTATTTTCGTGCTTAGTTTATTAATGACGAATTGAACGCTT